ACTTGCCCGTCCTCTCTGGCGCGCTCTGGCAGATGGACCTGCCCTCTAGCGAAGGATTCAAATGAAAAGATGTAAGAGTGTCTGGCCCGGTGGCCCGCCCTTGCTCATGCCTGGAGACATGGTGACCCCTGGGGGCGGGGCCAGAGACGCTCTGAACCCTGCGGGGCGCAGCACACCCTGGCTGGATCGCCTGGCCCACGGGAGCGGCGGGAGGCGGTGCTCGGCACGCTCGGTTACTGGTGAGAGACGCCGGTGTCCTCGCCCTCAGGTGGTAAGTCGTACACGTGGTCTGGGCACCGGCGGCTCCGGAGGCACAGGGCTGTGGTCTCGTGCCAGGGTGCGAGCAGCTGTGTAGCCTGGGGCCGTCAGAGCCGGTACGAGTGGGGCTCGGGTTTCAGAGGTCACAGAGTGGGCAGGCAGGGAGGCCAGCAGTGTAACGAGGAGGGCGCCTCTCGTGGGGTACCTGTGCAGCAAAGACCGGCTGTTAGGAGTGTCACAGACTTCCTGGAGGGACACCATGGCTGCACTCGCCCGGGCGGGAGGGCAGGGGGCGGTCCCGTCCTGGCTGTTTGCGTGGTGACAGACACCAGACCAGGCGATTTGTGGGGCACGAGTGTACTTGACTCGATTCTGGAGGCCAGAAGGCCAAGCCAGGGGCTCCATCTGGCAGAAGGCGTTGCATGGGCAGGAGGGAGAAAGAGGGGCTGGCCTCGTCCATGGGGAGCCCGTCCTTGAGGGGAGCCCGCCTCACTGAACACAGCTGCCACGCCGCAGCCTCGCAGGGTGACATGAGCTCTGGGCACATTCGAAGCCCCGCAGGGATCCTGGTGAAGGCCGCAGAGTGGCGTGGGGGTTGACGGAGGCCTGTGGTAGAGGCCGGAGGGCAGATGAGGGCTGAGGCCATTGGGGCCGGCTGCAGGGCGTGCCCATAGAGTGGTCGAGGGGAGGGTCTGACCACAGCGCTCTGAAGAGCGACCACATGGGCTGCCCACGTGAGGGCTTGGCGAGGACACCGCTGTGGGAGACCAGTGAGGAGGCAGGCCCCCGGGGCTCCAGACCTGCTGCGGCTCTGGGAGGGTGGTGCGTCTGCAGATCAAGTGTTCCCAAAGGTCCGGATCGCAGGGCCTCCTCGCCAGGCTGGCCTACGGTGCAGTGCTCAGTGCAGTGAGCGCCTGGCCAGCCTGCTGGACGAGCCGAGCGAAGGTGGGCTGGGCGCTCTTGGGAGCCACTCGCAGGGTGTGGAGGCAGGAAGGGGCTGGTGCTGTAGGTGTCGGGCCGGTTAGGTGAACCTGGCTCTGGGCGCGGTCCGTGTGGAGAGTTAGGGTCACCCAGGTGGGAAATCAGAAATACTGGGATGGGCGGGAGAGGAATTAGGGCTCCCCCCGAGATGTGGAGGGGGTGCAGCCGCCTGGTGAATGAGCACGGCGTGGTACTTGCGGCCAGGCCCGTGGGGGACACCCATGTTAGAGGGCGGGCCCAGGAGCACTTGGGAGGCCTGGACCCAGGGCCGAGAGGAGGCTGGACTTGGGCCAAGAGGAGGCCTGGACCTGGGGCCAGCCTAGGAACACCTGGGAGGCCTAGACCTGGGGCCGGGAGGAGGCCTGGACCTGGGGCCAGCCTAGGAACACCTGGGAGGCCTAGACCCGGCGCCGGAAGGAGGCCTATACCCGGGGCCGGGAGGAGGCCTGCACCCAGGCCGTGCAGTGCAGGAAGGCAGAGCAGCGGCTCTGGGTGGTTGGCAAGTGTGCGCTCAGCATGGAGACAGGTGGATGGGAGGTAAGGGGGCATACAGAGAAAGAAGCTGGCTTCTCTATTTGTAGGAAGATTTTTAAATGATTTCTTTCATGAGAGAGAAAGACATACACTTTTAAGAAGGTCTCCCTGCACTCACCCTGCGGCCCCCCAGCCGGTCGGGACCCTGGGCATGCACACCCAGCATGGAGAGGTCGGCTGGGGAGGCCCGTGGGGTCTTCGCAGGATCTAGCACGGCTGGGGCAGCACAGACCACTAGCTGCTTAGACAGGGGGGTTGGGGGCCAGCAGTGGTATGGTGGTTAAGACAACTAGAGCCTGCAGGGCTGACTGCGGTTCAAGTCCTGGGCCCGGCAGCTGAAAACACTGGGCTGTGTGAGCCCATGCACCCCGTAGCAAATTAAAAAAAACGCAGCAGCTGTGGGCTGCTGAGGAGGCAGCGTGGGGGGGGGGGGCCGTGGTTACGAAGAGGCCGGGAGGGAGGGAGGCGGAGTCGGCAGACCCAGGCACAGCAGGTCAGGGCTGGCCCCATGGGGGCAGTGGGGGAGAGGGGCAGGCAGGCAGGCCAGGCACCCTGCGGAGCTGTGAGGTGAGGTGGGTGATTGAAGGTCACGGGCCAAGGGGAGGCACCCCAGGCTGCCCCGCCGCCGTCTTCTCTGCACACCAGGACCTGCGGCGCCCCAAGGCCTCCTGTCCTGGCCTCCACGGACCTGCCGAGCGCCTGCTGTGAGGCTGTGAGTGCTGACCGGGCTGCCCTGCTTCTGGTGGCCGGGGAGTCTCTCCAGCCCCTGGCAGCCGGGACACCAGTCCCTGGAGAGCCCCCGCCGAGGGAGCTGTGCTGGCAGGGGCAGAGTGGGGGCTGGCGCTGCTGGCTGAGAATGGGTAGCACCTTCCTGCCAGGCCCTTTCTCTGTGCCCCCCTCGACCAGGCCTTTGGACCCAGAAGCTCGGGACCACAGCTGCAGGGAGCAGGCCATAGGTCACCCTGGGCCCACAAAGCCCTCCTGCAGGCCTGGGCCCCTGATCTGTCTTTTAGACCTGTCTGCAGGCCGGGGGTCTTGGCTCATCTGTGGGTCCAGGGTCTAAGCCTGTCTGTGGGTTGGGGGTCGTGGCCTGTCCGTGGCTGGGGTGGTTGGAGCAAGGTTGGGCACTGGCCAGGCTGCCCAGCATGGGCAGTGATGGTGTAGGTGTCCCAGGGAGAGGCCCAGGGGGGGCAGCTGTCCTGCTGCTCCGGACTGGTCGGGGCCTGGCCCCTTCCCCGGGCTGGCCCTGGGGCGGGCTGTGCATTCACAGAGGCAGTGTCTGCTACCTCCTAGTGCCACGCCCACTGAGCAGAAGCCTGTGAGTGGGCTGCACGTCTGTGTATTTCATTGTTACTAATTTTGAATTGCCAGAGAGCATGCATGGTCACCAGAGGGCAAGGGCAGGGCATGGCCACGCTGCCAGGTCTGCCCCTCCATTTCTGCAGTGGTCCCTGCCAGGCAGCCCCTGCCCCAGGGCACTCCCAGAACGCAGCTGCTCAGCTGCCCACTCCCCGAGGCGGGTGCTGCAGGCCCGAGGGTGGGCTTCTGAGCTTGGCCAGACTGTCCCCACTGCTGCTGCACGAGCGGGCGGCCTGGTGTCTGGTTCTGTGCCGGGCTCTGACCCAGGTGCGGGGCCTCGTGCTCCTTCACGACTGCGTCGAAGTGCCCTGCCACCCTCCTGTGGCCGTCAGGAAGAGCTCGGGCTCTGGCCAGAGCCTCCCAGACACCAGGAGGTGGCGAGCCCTGGGGTTGGTCAGACACAGGCTCTGGCTGGCCTGCAGGGCTGAGTCCGTGTTTCCAAGAGGGTCACTGTGCTCTCTAGGCTGCCATCCACCTGACAGTGGGCATGGAAGGGTGGTGAAGGGGACGGCCCGCTGAGGCCCCCTTCAGTACGTTCTGGCTCGGCAGCACATGCCAGGTGGACCGACTGCCGCCCTTGGAGCGCAGGCCACGGAGGGCAGTGGGGAGCTGGCAAGTGAGGGGCCGTCGTGTCCAGGCCCAATGGGCCCCAGAGGAGACCCACCAGCCAAGTGGCGCAGGACGGCCTGGCGGGGCTGGCGGGTAGGGAAGGTGTCAGGGAATCGGCTGCGACAGTCTGTGGGGCGTTGGATGCAGAGCTGAGCTCCCTGCGGGCAGGGGCTCCCTGTCCCTATGCCCACCCACTAGGCCGACGCTGGTCCTGCCGGGCTCTCTCCCTCGCTCAAGACCCCCATCCTGCAATGCTGAGGGGCCTGGGGATGCCCACCAGGGAGCAGGCCGTTGACCCCACACAGGGCTGTGTTCAGGGTCATCCGTGGCGACGTGTGGCAAGGTGCAGCCTTCGCCACTGCAAAGTCAGTGAGGGTTCCCGGGATCCCCGAGAGCCCAGCACCATGGCCGCACCCCTTTCCTGGGGCTCCTGGAAACTGACGTGGCTTGGGCTGGGTGGGGACATTGTGCCAGGCTGACCCTCCCAGGGTGGTTCCGGTCTGCGTCCGTGAGCATGCTGCCCACGCGTGCCAGGCCCAGGGCTGGCTGAGGCTATGGGTGGCTTGTGGCGTCAAGGCCCTGTTGGGGTCTGCGGGGACTAGGTGGTGTGGCTCTGGCCGAGTGGGCAGTTGTGGGGGTGGCCATGGCAGCTCCCCTTCCTGCTACTCGGCCCTCCCTGGCTGGCTTTTGCCCTCACCGAAGCCCTCCAGACTCCTCTCTGACCAGCTGGACCCCTTCTCTCCCGTCAGCTGCCGCTGGGCTGTGTGCAGATTTGGGCTGGAGGTGACCTCAGAGAGCCACAGTGTCGCCCCATGCCTTGCCTAGCCTGGGCCTGAGCAGTGGGGAGGAGAACAGGGCCTGGCTGAGGGGTGCCTTGGATGAGGGGGGCCGTGACCCTGGTTGGGCAGGCTGCCATCCAGCCCTCGCAGCCTGCTGAGTTGTGCCAGCTGTGACAGGGGCTCCCACTGGCCCACCGCCCTCCCCGGGTCCAGCCGCAGAAGAGGGTGAGCGCTGCACTGAGCTGGCGGCCCCTGGCCTGGCCCCAGCTGGGACCTTGGTCTCTCTGTGGAGTGGCCCACGGGTCCCTGGTGCCACCCCTCCGGGAGTGAGGACGGTGTAGGGACATTGAAGAGCCAGCTCGGGGGCAATGGCCTGGGAGCTGGCTCGTTCCCTCCAGAAGCTCAGAGGGCAGGGGGGAGGTGGTGTGTCTCCCTCGGCGTGTGGGAATGGCCAGACAGGTGTGTGACTCCTGTCCCCAGGTGGCCCGAGGCAGCCAGGATGCCAGCTCTCCCCAGGAACCGCGCCGCCTGCTGAGAGACATGGTCAGCAAGTCCCGTGAGTGCTGCCGGGGCGCCGCCCGGGGCCGGGGCGGGCAGGACGCCAGGGCCCGCCTCCCCCTGGAAGGAGCGGGCACTCAGCCCCCAGCCCTGAGCCCGGGCCGGGGCTGGGCTGTGGGGCCAGCCGGCGAGCAGGTGGCGGGCTGTGCCCGGCTGCGTCTCCACCTTTCCTCTGCCCACAGGCTGGAAGCTCCTGGCCATGCTGGCGCTGGGCCTGGTGGTCACGGCGTGGTACTCCATCTCCCGGGAGGACAGGTATACCGAGCTGTGAGTCCCACATCCACCACCTTGTCTGTTCGTGTGGCCCTCCCATGGCGTGACGGGGTGGATGGGCCGGGGTCAGTGGTGGCCCTGGACACAGGCAGAGAGCTGGGTACGCATGTTCCAGGCTCAAAGTGGAGCCCAGGGGAGCTGCTTCTGCCCCGTGAGGCCCGGCCCAGGGCCTGGGTGCTGTGAGGCTACCTGGGGCCACTGGCCCCAGCCTGGGCCTGACTGGAGCTCCCGCCTCTCCTCTCCCATCTGCAGTTTTTACTTTCCCATCCCAGAGAAGAAGGAGCCATGCTTCCAGGGCGAGGCTGAGAGGAAGGCCTCTAAGCTCTTTGGCAAGTGAGTCTGGGGTGAGCAGGGATGGGCTGGTGCAGGGGTTCGCAGGCTGGAAGCCGCTCGGGGCTGGCTGGGTGCAGGGGCTGCATTGGTGGAGCACAGCTGGGCTGGGCTCCCTGGGCTCCCTGGCTGGGCGCAGCTGCAGGGAAGAAGCCGAGCAGCCTGGGAGCAACTTGCCCCGTCTTGCCCCTGCCTTGCAGCTGCTCCCGCGACCGACCCATCTTCCTGCAGCTGAAGGATTACTTCTGGGTCAAGACGCCGTCTGCCTACGAGCTGCCCTACGGGACCAAGGGCAGTGGTGAGTGCCTTGCCCGGCGAGGCTCACTGTGCCATGCCGCCTCCTGTCCCCTGCTGTCCCAGCCCGGCACCCAGGCTCTGAGCGGCTCAGACACCACGGCCAGGGAGGAAAAGGCTGTCATCGATGTCCCTCCCATCCCCATCTCTTGCAGAAGACCTGCTCCTCCGGGTCCTGGCCATCACCCGTCACTCTGTCCCCGAGAGCATCCAGAGGTAGGATGCCCTGCATGGCTGGGGGGGGGGTCACTCCTGGCTCCTGGTCGCCGGGCTCTTGGGGCCAGTTCAACCCTACTCTTGGGCTGCCTGTCTCCAGAGGGTACAGGTGTGCCAGTCCCCATGGCAGCCTGGCCCTGGAAGCAACAACAGGCAGGGAACATCGTGTGGCACAGGCGGGTCTGCAGCAGCAGGGCGCTCTGCAGTGGGATTGCCCACAGGCCCCTCCGTTCAGGGCCCAGGGGCGTCAGGGTGAGCGTAAGCAGCCCCCCTGCCGTGCCCACTGTGGGGGCCAGGGCCGAGGCCCGGCAGGTAGCAGGAGCGTGCGGGGAGCAGGCACCCGGCTGAGCGGTCCTTCTCACACAGGCTCCGGTGCCGCCGCTGCGTGGTGGTGGGCAACGGGCACCGGCTACGGGACAGCCCGCTGGGGGGG